TGCGCTCCATGGTTTTACAAACACAGCTAGTTAGTGATGTTGGACGGTAGTTTGAGGGATCAGTATGATCCTGGCCAGGTTTTGGTATAGGGATGATAATGGCGTTGTGCCACGAAGGAGGAAAGTTGCCGATTGTCCAAATGTCATCAAATATATTGAGTAGAGTTTCCAAACTTGAATCAGGAAGGTGTTTCAGAAGCTGATAATGAATATCATCAGCTCCTGCTGCAATGCCGTGAGCCTGCCCCAGGGCAGTACGTAGTTCATGGAGGAAAAAGTTTCATTGTAATCCCTCACTATTATCAGAGTTAAAATTGACTGATTTCTTTTCTTGCGGTGATAGGCTGAGGAGATGAAATAACCTTGATCACAATTCGTGGTGGGGTTGTGGCTTTGGATGTTTATGGCTTCAAGGAGTTTCCTAATTTTGTAGTCTTGTCGGTTGATTTCCAAGATATCGATGTTGTTCCATAGGATGTTTTGTCGTCAGCAACCATTCAGACGAAGATGAGGAACAGTGAATCATATCATATGGCTTAGTGTTGGATGAGTATATTGATGTGGCAACAAGGAAGCATTTTGCCTTTGCTGGAAGATACATAGAAGAAGGAGAATCAAAGTTGGCCTTCCTTCGAGATGTGGAGATACCTAACGGCACTGCCAGCACTATAGTTGAGAACATCAAGGACTATCTTCATGATGCAGACCTAGACAAGAGCAAAATGACTTGTTTCGCCAGCGATGGACCTGCTGTCATGACAGGAAAGAAGAATGGTGTGGTTGCTCAACTGAAAAAGGAAAATCCAAGTCTGATGGACGTTCACTGCATTAATCACAGAATGCAGCTTGCAGTGAGCTCCGCCTTCAAATCTGTCACGTCCATTGAGAATGTGGATGAACTTTTTATGGGACTTTTAAGTACTATCACTACAGTACTGTCAGAACAAAAAGCCTGGAACAGATGCAAAATTATCAAATGCTATGGAAATGCCTGAAGAAAAACAGGAACTCTTACAATCAAGAAGGCAGTACACACTAGATGGCTGAGTCATGAGAAGGCAGTCCACGCTGTCCGTCAGCTGTATTTAGCCATTTTAGCTGATTTGGAAAATGCTGTTGGTATGGGCAACGACAAGAGAGCAGGTGACAGACAGAGTGTTACAGCTGAATATACCTCTACAAGCAACCCAAGTCCTATGACAAACTGTTCATCATCCTCCTACTGTGTGATGTCTGCTCAACAGTGCCAGCCCTCACTAAGCTGTTTAAGAGAAGAGACCTGGACCTGAGTGTTGTGGAGCCGCAACTTCAGAGTACCATTAATATCCTTCGCAAGATGAAAGAGAGGCCTGGAGCCTATCTGTCAAAAGTGGCTGATCTGTCCAGGAAGTATGAAGTAGAGAGAGATTCCCATCGAGGACTGAAAGTGGAGGAATCAAGAGACTTCTTCCTGGACCGTCTTGTTTCAAACTTGGAGGAGAGGCTGGCCTACACCCCTACATTGACAACTCTGCCATCCCTGGACCTGAGGAAGGCTGGAGATGCTTCTTTTCTGACCTTCTTTGGGGATGCAGAGGTATGTCATTTTTGACATTTTTCTGAAACAACACCAAAATATTTTGTTAAATATTTTTGCCAGGCTTGAATCCAAAAACTGTGATTTATTTCTATAAATAATAAGCAACATTCATTGTCTTTTAATAGTTTACTTATCGTCTGCAAGGGCCTCACATTATGATGCAACAAATCTGAAAGATCTATTCTCCCGCGTGAGCGCTCATCTGATAGTGAACTACCTGAGGGAAGTTGATCTGTATCATAAATTGTAACTGTGTAATGTGACTAACACATTGCTTGCCTTTAAATTTCGCGCTATGACTTTTTCTGCTTTTAAATGACAATGTAATGAATATATGTCTTTGAAATAAAACTCATTGTGACTCTGTACTTACATTGTTTATTAATGCAGACTTGTTCTCGTCACTATATGGCTGGAATAATGCCGATGTGACGTAAAGCCCAACTCACCTCACCTCACCACTAATTGTTAGTCTTACAGATAAATATACTTCACATGTCTTGTTTTTCACAGATGAAATACTGATCACATTTTATTTGTTACATATATCAGATCTAGCTGACAGCTTTGGCTTAGATGCTGACCAGGCCCTGACAGAGTGGACAGCAGTGAAAGAGATGTTTTCAGAGGACATCACTGACATCACTCCTCAGGCAATGATGAAGACCCTGACAACGCTGAAACCACAGACAATGTGGTCAAGCTCCTTGGGATCCATTTTACCGTCATCTTGTCAGCATCTGAGGTAGAGAGGGTGTTCTCCCAAGTGAAACTAGTTGTGACTGAGCACAGGAACAGACTGAAAGTCAGCAACTGTAACAAGCTCCTCATGATCAGCCTGAACACAGGCAGTCACAATGACATTGACATGAAAGCTGTTGTGAAAAGCTTCCTGAGAAAAAAGCAAAGGCGACTCTAGGCTTTAAGAGAGCTGGCAATAAATGAGGCTGAATCTTTTGTTTTGGTTTTGATTGTGGTTGGTGCCCCTTTTCTGTAGAACCTTCACCCTGCCCTTTTGCTGTCTTGAGGAAAAACAAAACGTTTTACTCTTACCAAGTGGCTCTAATAGTCCTCTGTGGTTTTACTAAACACTTTCTGGAAAATCATGTTGTGGAAATGTGTAAAGTGACGATTTTACTGCAACCGAGCAATGGTGTCATGTTTGAATCCATTATATGCACTTAGTAAGTAACTCTAAAACAGCATGTCGAGTTTCTTTTTTCAAGAGTATATGTGACTTTTGCTGACAGCCAATTCCAGCAAAGGTACGGATTGTTTCGGTGCCATTACACACTGAATGTTCCCAACTTTATTAGGGTAATTTACATTGGTTTCTCGTTTTAGCTCAGATATTTCAGATATATTCTGTTATTCCTCCCCAGGCTGACAACTAGCCTTATGTTCAAAGTGCGTAGGTTTGAATATTTGTATTACTTGGAGAGATGTGCACATACAAACAGGATACTGCCCTTGTGTACACTTCGGACTTATATATTCGCATCAGCTTAATCCGAGACATAGACACACAAGTGTTTAGTTTTTATCGAGTGAGAGTGAGTGAAAGAGTTTTGTTGTACGCCGCACTCAGCAATATTCCAGCTATATGGCAGCGGTCTGTCTATTATCGAGACTGGACCAGACAATCCAGTGATCAACAGCATGAGCATCGTTTTGCGCAATTGGGAACCGTTGACATGTGTCAACCAAGTCAGCGAGCCTGACCATCCGATCCCGTTAGTTGCCCCTTCCGACAAGCATGGGTTACTGAAGATCAATATTCTAGCCCGGACCTTCACGGGTAAGTTTTTATCGAAGTGCAGGTGATACTGTACAAGTCACATTAATTGATACACATTATTTTACACGTTTAGTTGTTTAAGTACGTTTGTAGCCACACAATATATTTCACGAAGGAGAGGGCTTGAGTACAGATTCAGAATTATCACGATTGGCCTCAGTTGACCATAGTGACTAAAACATCCTTGCTGAACCTTCCCTATAGTAATGCTGTTAGTAACGTTCAAGGTAAATACTTGCCACCTATTCACACAGGCGCCTTTGTGATTATCAACACGCTGTCTATAGGTGTCATTACATTATTTCTATATTTATTTTGAAAGTTACATTGGCCAGATCTTTTTCCTGTTATCGTGGTGTGAAATGTTATTTTATTGATGTCTTTCAGTGGCATTTAGAAGTTGTACATTGATGTCCAAGATATTTTTATGGATTAAACTTCTTTTTACTTTCTCTCACGACGTTTCGAGACCATTCCAGGTCCCTTCATCAGGTTAACTATTTTATTGTTCTGATGTACCTTGGCTTTACTCAAACTTCAGGATATTGACTCTAATAAAACTAATCGTTCAAAGCACTACTTTCGCAAAAGTGATATCGGTATGTATATACATTGTACCTCATAAAACGGATGTTCCTTCTCGCAATTACTTAACAAAACGGATATACTCCATCGGTATTGTGTAACATTACTTTGCAAAAGAATATACCCGGAAATTTATCATCCAAAACTGTGTTCCACAGGAGATATTGTTTTGACAGTCGATTTTGTACAATGCCATAACAATGCTATGCCGTCATGACTTGATGACGTCACAATGCTATGACGTTGCTGCACTGCAAGTCTAATGGCAGTACTGTGTTCAGAGATGTATATTTTTATTGAAAACTAAAAAGAGTGATTTTTTGATGATAAGCCTCTGATATTTATAACTTTATCATCTCGTGGTGATATATATAGTATCAAAGGGCACTCGGGTGAGATTATCTATATACCCTATCACCCTGCATGACCATAATAGTCAGCTATTATAACCAGTATAACCTGCAGGTAACGAGTTCGAATCCAATATCGCCACTGTCCATAATTGCAAGTTGTCAGTTGTTTGAACAGTGAGATGTCACGTGACACTGGAAGAATAGTCTAGATTTATTAAGTTAGTGCCAGGTTGTATGTTTGCTAACAACATCTCTCTAACTGAGGCGATATATGTGCAGTATGATACAATGATTGTAACCGTCCTTGTTGACCAAATATTACCTTAGTTAGATTTCATGCAACTGCATTTCACAGACGGACTCTATTGAGAGTAAGTATTGACATACGAAAGCCATTCTGAACTTCATATGAATTTTCTCCCTTTAGCCGTTTTGAAATATTTGTTTGAACTCTCCAATCTATCACGAGATGCAAAAATCAAATATGAATGATGCAATCATTTTATCGAAACCTTTCGAGCTGAGAAGTTTTAATGGATAGGTAAGGAATATACATAATGACATCGCGACTAAAAGCCCCTGACAGTTGATATTTGTACAGCAATCGTACTTCCCATCAGCTCTATCGATCTTATTGTCGTCAGTGGTTCATCGAATTCTCTTTCGTGCGGTGGAACTCGACGAGATGAGACGCAAAATATTATTGTGCTGTGTTCTACTTGTGGAGGCTTATGGCTATCGCTACGAGAAGGAACTTCATGAGCATTTGTTTGCAAATTACAGTAGTGACGTTTTCCCAAGTGAGACCATTGGCCAACCGGTCAATGTCTCCATCCACGCCGAGATGAACTACATCATTGGGATTGATGAAATCCACGAGATCCTCTCCTCTGATCTTCAGTTGACGCTGTCATGGACGGATGTCAGTTTGGCGTGGAATGAAGATATATATGGTGGCATCAAAGACATAATTGTCCCCGTGATGAGGATGTGGGTTCCTGACGTTGCCATCCAGAATGCTTTGAGCGAGAGGCGTCGACTTGTTAAGGATGATCAACAAGTAACCGTAACATCCTCCGGTGCCGTGTTCTGGATCGCTGACTACATCGGGCCATCTTTGTGTCCTTTAGTAATGACCAAGTACCCTTTTGACAGGCAGAAATGTACCCTGTACATTGAAGCGCTCTCCCACGGTAAAGACAAAGTGCAGTTCGTTCATATTACTGCTCTGGATGGTTCTGGAATTTACCCAAACGGCCAATGGAGATTCGTGGAATCTACCTGCAATCTGACCCAGGAGACGAGTGGGGACAGTGTCGCTTTGGTTACGCTGTACATGCAACGTAGACGAGAGTACTACCTGGTCACCATTGTCCTCCCAACCGTAGTGACATCGTTACTCAACCCCTTCGTGTTCCTGTTGCCAGCAGAGAGTGGGGAGAAGATGGGGCTGTCCACGACGTTGCTGCTGTTCTACTCCGTCATGCTGACCCACATCTTCAGCAACATCCCCTCCAACTCACACACCATGCCTGTAATTGGATTTTTTCTGGGAGCACAGCTGCTGTTATCAGCTCTTTCCCTCGGTTGTTCGGTTGTCCTTCTTCACGTGAAACATAACACTGCTCCTGCCAAGGAAGATCAGAGGGAGGAGGAAAGAAGAGCTTTCTACCGACGAGTCGACCGACTGCTATTTTGGTTGTTTGCGATATCAGGGCTGATCCTGTTCATTTCAATCTTCGTTTATATTCTAAACTAAAAGTCAACTAAACAAAAGAGTATATCAAGTATTACAGTCCGTGAGACCATCGAAAGTATTAGTACCGACAAAATTGTTCCTGATACTTGCGTTTCTCAAATTCCGTCCGGATATAAACAATTCCGGATGATTAAATCTCTTGTCATCTCACCACAGTTACCTTCAGATTATTATTGAGGCAAAAAATTGTATTGTACGGTGCATGTTCTTTTTAAAGTTATATCAGCAGTAGAAACCAACCTCTTTTGTTTGATAATATACATGTATCAGTAGTACTAATGATAATTATTCATAAACCATTGCTCATGTATAGTGTTAATCGTACAGTCGATTCCGTTTTTGGCAGATATGTATTGTGGAATTGGAAAGTATTTTGCCGCCTCCTTTTAAATGTTTGAGAGATTTTGATATGACATACACATATTTATCCGAATTCGAATGAACCTCCAGTCTATTATTGTCGTACACAGCGTCACGCGTCATGTGCCATTGGTGTTTTCTTGAATATAATGCTTATCACTGAATGAAACTCGGTCATTTTGCATGTTGCGACAGGATCAAGGAATATAACTGTAAGTAGCTTTTGGTGAAGAAATGTACCTGTCGTCAAAAGTGGAGACACTAGGGCTGGGATGTCAGGAACTGTTGACATACAAGCTACTGGATCAGTGACGCAAGATTTATCGAGTTTCGGATCTATTGCAACGTAAGTCACCAACAGGTCCTAGATAAGTGAAGACACTGGGGGTGGGATGTCAGGAACTGTTGACATACAAGCTACTGGATCAGTGACGCAAGATTTATCGTGTTTCGGATCTATTGCAACGTAAGTCACCAACAGGTCCTAGATAAGTGAAGACACTGGGGATGGGATGTCAGGAACTGTTGACATACAAGCTGCTGGATCAGTGACGCAAGATTTATCGTGTTTCGGATCTATGGCAACGTAAGTCACCAACAGGTCCGTGATATCATGTGTGAAGACAGTATGGAATCAGAGGATCAGTGCCCGATTGAAAAACAGTTTACCTTTTAACAAAGTGTATTCTAGTTGTATTGAAGGTAAAGGTTATCCATAGCTCTGGTTGTCATGTTTACAACCAACATAACTCGTGTAGGTGAAATTGGGTCCAACGATCAACTTTAAAAACACGTATTTGTGTATCGGTATTGTTCTGTTACTAAAATGCATTACTTTCGTTTTGTTGTCTTAATATAATACATATATTGTGTGGGAGTTTTGGAGGGATGTCACTAAACAGAAGGAAATTGTGAACAAGTTGTTATGTATTTGGCTTGTATCTGTATGATCTCTGAACAGGTGATTGATATATTTCGATCGTCAAGTATCAGTACACACTTGGACATGTTTGTCACGTGCAATACAAAAAGCCATTTCTCGCTATGATTTACAGGGCGCAGTGTGAATTCAAACAATCTATGTAGGAAATAATATTTGTTTAAAGAATTTTAAATGGAGTAATACTCACACACCTTACATATATAATGATATAGACATTGCAGATAAGTAAGTTTTCAATAATCGTCCGTTACATGTTTCTTGGTCGCATAATCAACTGCGAGACATACATGACGTCACACTGGAATGCTTCCATGACGCCTAAATCCGCCTAGATGTTTCAGCGCTAAAGGGACATTCAAGTGATTCAACTTATTCGGATTTTGTCTATCCAAGTTGGAACATATTTTTGGTAAGGAATGTATTCATACGCAATTAGTAGCTGTATATATAGTACAGATGATTTATATCTTCGAATCCATTTTATGAATCTGTTACAACCAATGATATTGCAACACACTCACATTTCATTTACAATTAGGAAGATTTCTGCGTTGTATTGTGGGGTTGCTAAGGATTTAGGTGACGTAAGGATTAAGCCTCCGTGTAACTTAAATGTGTGAAGGATTAACGGATGAACAACAAATTTAATTTTTGATGTTGGACTGCGATGCTAGCCTCTGGCTTATTGATGTCAATTAGTTATTATGTTCACATACTTATATGACTATTTGTACAGTATATTCTCTCTTAGATAATGTTCTTAGATAGTCATCATTTGAGCATCATAATTTTGATTGACATCATGAGCATCGACCGATGCATTCGGATATGGTGACATGAATCCTCCAAGCTTGAACACCAGATCATGTTATTTGTCTTCACAAGCAGGAATCTTCACGATGGACTTGGGGTCATGAATATGTGATACTTGTATAAATTCTCATTTCTTGAAATAATTATATCCATGTCGTGACTGTGATGCTAAACAGCTCTGCACACGTGGCATGGCTTATGATCAAGTGTTGTGGCCGGACAATTATAACTACAATTCACAGGTTGTACTTTCTAGACTAAGATTTGTTTTGCACATCAATGGACAGCCAAGTAAAACATTAGTCAGCTTTAAATGCTTCAAAAGTAGTCAAACATATCCTGATCCTTGAAATATCAGTTGGGGTGGAACGTAGTTCTTATTGATGATTATTCAATACTTCGTGTCTTGGTTACACCACGTTCCTCATCACCAATGAACATCTCAAAGGACACTTCGTCCATTTGGGTGGGCCCTTTCCGTTCAAAAAGAGGAGCACAAGAAGCTATACATTTATTTAATCTGTAAAATATTATCATGCAGCCGGATAGGTTTGTATATAAATGTATTGAAGACATGGATAAGAAATGAATTTGCAACCACTAGACCCCTACCATATTTGAAATGTTGCACACTCGTGCCGAAAAGAACAAGTGATGTCTTAGACACACATCAGCTGTTGTGGATTCAGCAAAGGAATTTCTTTTTCATGAGTTTAAGATCAAATTATATGTTCAAAATTAATCCATGTAAAAGTATTCTTTGATGCTCACTACGCACCTGGATAGTTAATATTCTGAATCAATAAAATTTAATTTAAACAATAGCTAACTTAGCATGCTATTAATTATAAATCAACAAATGTTTAAAAGAAGCAGATAAATGAGACGTATAGTGTCCTCTTGCTCCTCAGTTACTAATGAGGGACTACACCAGACTGTGTTACAGAAACTGCTAAACTTGTGAAAAGAATATTTCCCTTCACAAATTTAATTGAATTCAATAAATAAATCATTTTATGCATGTAACTACAATGTATTTAATATTTCTCCCTCCCAGTAAAATACGATTATTAAATAAAGTACTTTACCTTCGTGGACGACAACAAAGTTTGATACTTTTGTTAATAAAACAGATCGGTGATAACTGTTAACAGGTCTCTTCACGGGGAAATAATATTTTGTTAATATCTTAACGAAAAGGTATGGAACAATGCTCAGTTGTATCTACAAACTATTATCTTTTGTCGGCAAACATGATTTTAACTTTTAACAGCCATCCGTCGTCCTCAATCCATTCTGTCAGAGTGAGTGAGTATGGTTTTACGCCGCTTCTGGTAATGTGCCAGCAAACTTACGAGGGGAGGGCACCAGAAATAGGCGTGGCACAATGTACCCACGTTTAGAATCAAACCCGGGGTTCCCACTGGACACGCGAACGCTCTAACCATTACGCTACCCCATCTTTCGTCAGGTAAACCTAATGACATCGGGCCATCATTCGAGCAGCACGTCGAGCCCTGCGCTGTGATGGTGACATGAGAACAATGATGTCCATGTCACCGGCACCGTCTGTAACGTCCTTGGAGTCCACAGCATCGGTCACATCGCCTCCAACTGAGTGTATGTAAACCTGGGAAAACAATATGTGTGTGAGTGAGTTTCACACTCTGTACCCATACGGGGAATCGAATCCGGATCTTCGGCGTGAGAGAACTGAACGCTCTAACTACTGAACGTGTCCTGTTTGGGGCTACATAATGTCTAACCCTAGATTACAGTATTACCAGAGGCAGAGGAGAGAGACGTTCTTTGATTAAGATAGGATAGTGAGTGAGTGAGTGAGTTGAGTTTTACGCCGCACTCAGCAATATCCCAGCTATATGGCGGCGGTCTGTAAATAATCGAGTCTGGACCAGACAATCCAGTCATCAACAGCATGAGCATCGATCTGCGCAATTGGGAACCGATGACATGTGTCAACCAAGTCAGCGAAACTGACCACCCGATCCCGTTAGTCGCCTTTTACGACAAGCATAGTCGCCTTTTATGGCAAGCACATGGGTTGCTGAAGACCTATTCTACCCCGGATCTTCACGGGATTAAGATAGGATAGCGAGATGGGTGCTAACGAAACCTTATGGCAACTGGGTGCTTGGAATGTGTGGGTGATGTAATACCATACATTATGAATAAAAATATAATATCCATACATTATCAAGGATGAAGACCCTTTTTCAAAACAGTTTCATCCGGTAACGAACATATGATGTATGACAAAACATTGAACTAATGCAGACTAACTTAGCTTTAACTTAATACCACGAAAGATGACTAAACTGCGATTCTCAGTATGTAGACAAGTTACTGGCATATAGAAACAGTCCGAATTATAACACATGCATTCTGATTCAACATTGAATGACAGTACATGAAACAGACCATGTTATTGCTCCCTCCTGTTTGCTCTTGAATTCCTGGTCTTGTGAAAGCACTGACTCTGGCACGATCTTCAGGTGGCACTACCAAACAGAGATGACATTTGAGTTTAGTATTATGCCTCTTTCAGCAATATTCCAGCAATATCACGACGGGGACACCAGATATGGGTTTCATACATTGTGCCCATGTGAGGAATCGAACCTGGCACGGCGGAGCGAACGCCTTAACCACTAGGCTACGCCACCGCCCCGAAATGACATGTGATAAGAAGACAAGCGACAACACTAATTCTACCATGACTGCGTGAAATACTCGAATTTGATTGGACAATCAATAAAATTTGACACTATCAATCCTGGGTCGATGATGCGTCTGATTTCATGACCGCTTCACTGCGCACGTATACAACACTGCCGCACTACTTCAGCTTGGCCACCTACATGGCTAATATCAACACAACAGACGTGATGGAAATGCTTATAAAACATTAATTATTCAACTCGAAAATACAATTATATGATGTTTCCTCCACAATTATTAGGGAAACGCACAATCATATTACCTTCTTTCATAAAAATATTCGAACTCAATTACAATTAATGCACAGTCCCAAACATAAACAAACTAACTAACTTATAAATCAGAAAGCCTTGTAAAATTGATAGTTTCTAAATTTATCATTTAAAACCTCACGCTTCGCGTTCGGCTTCAAATGAAATTTAGAGACTATCAATCGATCTAACACTTATCTAATTTTCAAAGACAAACGTTTATCTCACTTATCTAACACTTTTATTTTCAAAAACAGTACGTTTATCTCACAAATATTATAGCTGATCGACACTACAATTGAATATGAAAACACACCTCTGAAGCTGTTACATATACCCAAGTATCTATATGTCAATCGTTGTGTAATTATGTCAACAAAGAAACATTATATATTGGTGCAAAAGGGCCATTGAAAATCAGTGAAGACAGCTGATGTTTGCGAAAGGCTAAGTATGTCCTGTGAATACATTCTGTAAGGTTGCATTGAAAGCACTAAAATGTTAATGAGCGTATTTGTGTATTGTTTAACGCATAGCAATATTCCAGCTCTCTGATGGCAGTATGTAAATAATCAAATCTGCAGGACAAAATCCTGAGATATCATGAGCATTGTTCTACGCAATTAGGATACGATGGCATGTGCCAACCAAATTACAGAGGCTGACTAACCGTTCTTGTCAATCATCTCTCAGAATAAGCATGGGCTGCTGAAAACCCAGGTCTTCTAACCTTTAATCTTTACGTGTGATTAGCAGAGCTTGTTGGAGACCAATTCTAATCCTGATCTTCACTGGGTACAAGAATGGCTTGGTGTACACAACTTCTCAACTGGATCTTCATGATGGACAAGCATGTCTTGGAAACCACTTCTAATCCGGATCTTCTTGCGGGAACAAGCATGGCTTGTTGTAGTCCAATTCTAATCTGGATCTTCATGGGCGACAAGAATGGCTTTGGTGGGGACCAATTCTAATCTGGATCTTTCATGGGGAACAAGAATGGCTTGGTGGGGACCAAATTCTAATCTGGATAATGGGGGACAAGAATGGCATGGTGGAGACCAATTCTAATCTGGATCGTCATGGGGACTAATACATGGCTTGTTGGGAGACCAATTCTAATCCGGATCGTCATGGTGGACATACATGGCTTGTTGGAGACCAATTCTAATCCGGATCGTCATGGGGAAGATACATGGCTCGGTGGGGACCAATTCTAATCTGGATCGTCATGGGGACAAGAATGGCTTGGTGGGGACCAATTCTAATCTGGATCGTCATGGGCGACAAGAATGGCTTGGTGGGGACCAATTCTAATCTGGATCGTCATGGGCGACAAGAATGGCTTGGTGGGGACCAATTCTAATCTGGATCGTCATGGGGACAAGAATGGCTTGTCGGGGACCAATTCTAATCTGGATCTTCATGGGGAACAAGCATGCTCACCCTTTCACGCGAACACCTGATGTCGTCACTGATTTTCAGTGATCCATTTGTACAATTTCAACAGTGATCCTTTACACCAAACGGAATTTATTTCTGTGGGTTGCCTATACTGGGTATTCTTTCTCTACTCAAGACCAATTCTCACCTCAACGTTGAGGTGGTGAAACGATTCATACCTTGTATAACCCCATTGAGCCAAGGGTGGTCTAAAATAGTTGCCCAGGAAGCACGTTGTTTTGGTTCCTTCTTCAACATCTGCTGCAACAGCGACGTCGGTTGTGCTGGGATGATGTCCGGCCACTCCACGTCAGAATGTACAATATAGTGCACAAGAGTTCTCACTTGTTCTTGTCCGTCATTTGATTCGTCGGGCTCGAAGGGCGGTTTGCCAAGAAACAGCTCATATGCCATAGCCCCGAGTGACCTTCGAGACAACAGAAGTGAGTGAGTGAGTATTGTTTGACATCGCCTTTAGAAATATTCCAGCAATATATCACCAGAAATGAATTTCACACTTTGTACACAGGCCCTCGTGTCTTTGCGAGGATTAAAGATTTTTTATAAAATATCTTTGAGATGACCCCCGACTCGAAATGCTTCACAGTAAATACATTATGAAAAGGCCGGACACATCGGTATACCCTACCCGCATTCGTGACCCACTCGTGTTATTCCGGGACAAGCCGAATAGCGAAGTTACGGAAAGGGGCGAGTGGTGACGAATGGCTTTGCCGGTCACAACGCTACCATCACATAATAATATATAGAGATTTATATAGCGCCAATATCCAGATGAGTCCTGCTCAAAGGCACATGCAATTGATTAAATGTAAATGTCTCCTAAACAAGGATCAACCAACCAGAGGGCTTGCTTTGACCACACTCCCGTTTTGTGCGCACATATCGTCATCCATTTGTGTCAAGATCGTTTAGTTAAGAGTCAAAATCGGGTTTCAATCGACTTGCAGAAATAACAATAAAGAATTGGTAGGTTTCATGATTGGTGATCGATAGACCAATCATCCATGATTATGTTCACACTTACTTTTAATCGATTCAGGCGATGGTAGAGTAGCGATCGGCAAAGCAGGCGGGTATGGTAAACCGAAGTGGCTGGCCTTGTCATGGTGTATTGTACTGTGAAGCATTTCGAGTCGGGGTCATCTCAAAAACAATCGTTTTTTTTAATCTTTAATCCTCGCAAAGACACGAGGGCCTGTGACTTTGTACCCATATGGGGAATCGAACCCCGGTCTTCGGCGAGAGGAGCGAACGACTTATCCACACGGCCACCCCATCAATGACCATAAATACATGAGAAATATCTGCATGTATTAGATAATCCCGATCAAAGGACTTAAAATAACTTGAGTATTGCAGATGGTGTTTAAAACTAACATATAAATCTAAAACTATTTTACTATTTAAGACAATACAATAATACAAACATGCTATAGGTCGCCAACATTTGAAGGTAGATCACCATACTAGGGACCATGGGGACTTACAGTACTTTCGCTACCTGCATAGACCCTAGCTAGATTTACGTCGTCTCTTCAGATGTTGGTCAGTATCACAAATTTTAGCCAAAGATAATACAAACCCATATTATATCAATGAAAATGTGTCATGAAGAAGGCAGCAAACATAGATATGAGATAACATACACACATACCTATCATCATACTAACATTTGTATAGCGCCGATATCCAGCTAGGCTGCTCAAAGGCGCTTTGTTTTTCCCTCAATAACTGGATGTGAATCATCAACTGGATGTGAATCATCAATCTCTATTCCCCGGGGAGCATACAACGCTTGCAGCCACAAGGCGCACCGAGTTAGTGTGGCTTTCCCGTCCTTACGAGGTACCCATTCACAGCTGGGTGGACAGGGACACATAGTCACAGTACTTTGTCCAAGTTTACTGTACGTTGCTGTGCCCGCAACTAGGTGTTTGCACATACATAACAAAAGTGAGCGATTAGATTTACTGGTCACTAGTTCTAGATAATCATATCATGTAAACAATGGGTAATTGATGTAAATACACTGGGTGGATGACAACCACCGGTCTTTGCCAAACGGCGACGGAAGATGGGAAATTAAGAAGGGGAAATGAGAGGTTATTAGATCGTGACATGGTTATTTGAATGTGACAAGGAGACACATTAGACTGTGACAAGGAGACCTATTAGACTGTGACACGGAGAGCAGTTAGACTGTGAAAAGGAGATCAGGTAGACTGTGACAAGGAGACCCGTTAGACTGTGACAAGGAGACCCATTAGCCTGTGACAAGGAGACCCGTTAGACTGTGACAAGTAGACCCGTTAGACTGTGACAAGGAGACCCATTAGGCTGTGACAAGGAGACTCGTTAGACTGTGACAAGGAGACCCGTTAGACTGTGACAAGGAGACCCGTTAGACTGTGACAAGGAGACCCGTTAGACTGTGACAAGGAGACCCGTTAGACTGTGACAAGGAGACCCACTAGACTGTGACAAGGAGACCCGTTAGCCTGTGACAAGGAGACCCACTAGACTGTGACAAGGATACCCATTAGACTGTGACATGGAGACCCGTTAGACTGTGACAAGGAGACCCGTTAGACTGTGACAAGGAGACCCACTAGACTGTGACAAGGAGACCCACTAGACTGTGACAAGGAGACCCGTTAGACTGTGACAAGGATACCCATTAGGCTGTGACACGGAGAGCAGTTAGACTGTGAAAAGGAGATCAGGTAGACTGTGACAAGGAGACCCGTTAGACTGTGACAAGGAGACCCATTAGCCTGTGACAAGGAGACCCGTTAGACTGTGACAAGTAGACCCGTTAGACTGTGACAAGGAGACCCATTAGGCTGTGACAAGGAGACTCGTTAGACTGTGACAAGGAGACCCGTTAGACTGTGACAAGGAGACCCGTTAGACTGTGACAAGGAGACCCGTTAGACTGTGACAAGGAGACCCACTAGACTGTGACAAGGAGACCCACTAGACTGTGACAAGGAGACCCGTTAGCCTGTGACAAGGAGACCCACTAGACTGTGACAAGGATACCCATTAGACTGTGACAAGGAGACCCGTTAGACTGTGACAAGGAGACCCGTTAGACTGTGACAAGGAGACCCACTAGACTGTGACAAGGAGACCCACTAGACTGTGACAAGCAGACCCGTTAGACTGTGACAAGGAGACCCACTAGACTGTGACAAGGAGACCCGTTAGACTGTGACAAGGATACCCATTAGGCTGTGACAAGGAGACCCGTTAGACTGTGACAAGGAGACCCGTTAGACTGTGACAAGGAGACCCGTTAGACTGTGACAAGAAGACCCGTTAGACTGTGACAAGGAAACCCGTTAGACTGTGACAAGGAGACCCGTTAGACTGTGACAAGGAGACCCGTTAGACTGTGACAAGGAGACCCGTTAGACTGTGACAAGGAGACCCGTTAGACTGTGACAAGGGGACCCATTAGACTGTGACAAGGAGACCCGTTAGACTGTGACAAGGAGACCCGTTAGACTGTGACAAGGAGACCCGTTAGACTGTGACAAGGAGACCCGTTAGACTGTGACAAGGAAACCCATTAGGCTGTGACAAGGAGACCCGTTAGACTGTGACAAGAAGACCCGTTAGACTGTGACAAGGAGACCCGTTAGACTGTGACAAGGATACCCATTAGACTGTGACAAGGAGACCCGTTAGACTGTGACAAGGAGACCCGTTAGACTGTGACAAGAAGACCCGTTAGACTGTGACAAGGAGACCCGTTAGACTGTGTTCACTGTGACCCCAGGACTGTGTTCACGTGGGGGGTTTGTCATCTGGGGAAGGGTGTGTCACCTGGGGGAGGGTGTGTCCACTGGGTCAACCTCAATATGGACAACAGGGGGCGAGTTTTCTCTTCCCCTGTTAGACTGTGACAAGGATACCCATTAGACTGTGACAAGGAGACCCGTTAGACTGTGACAAGGAGACCCGTTAGACTGTGACAAGGAAACCCATTAGACTGTGACAAAAAGACCCGTTAGACTGTGACAAGGAAACCCGTTAGACTGTGACAAGGAGACCCGTTAGACTGTGACAAGGAAACCCGTTAGACTGTGACAAGAAGACCCATTTGGCTGTGACAATACGACCCGTTTGAGTGACAAAATCAAGTTTGGAAGTGACAGAAAGTACAGGATTTTAAGGAACCGTCATTTATGGAAAAAACAACAACACCGCAACAAACCAACAATATTCTTGCATGAATTCGACAATTTCATTACTACGTATCTTCTAGTAGCCCGAACATAAAACTAACTAGTTTCAATTAGATTTGATACATACCAAATGTCCACCTTCTCATTGTAGTAGACAACGTTGTTGTCGGCAATTTCAGGGGACATGTATATTGGTGTAGTCTGAAAGGGTGGAGACGTTCGTAGCAGCATAGACGTAACATCGTCGACAACATGTAAGTTCGATAATAGTATAGATAACACAGCATAAAGGTTTTATTTTGTAACAAAACCAGCAACCAATGATGCATAATTGCACATCGATTTCAGCTGCCAACGTTTGCTTGCATTACGCGCACTCAGCAATGTCAAATGTCAAAACTCGAGCCTGGACTGGACAATCTTGTGATCTACAGGGTGAGCATCGATCTACGCAATTGGGATACGATGACATGTGTCAACTAAATCAGCGAGCCTGACAACCGATCCCGTTGATCTCCTCTTACGACAAGCTTGGCTTGCTGAAAACAAATTTTAACACGGATTTTCACGGGTATCAAAGAAAGAGATTTCTAAACCTGTTAATGGAGTTTTGTGGGCTTTGAGTACTTTCTTTAATTCCCTATATATAAGTTTACTTACGTTTATCGTTTACATAGAAATTACCTTGATGGTCGTGGGCAGTGGTCCGATTTCAATGAAGTATTCACGGGCGAAGCCGAAGTCGCACAATTTGGCGGTGCCGTCGTCCATGAGGAGGACGTTCTCAGGCTTCAGGTCTCGGTGCAGGATGCTTTTGGAGTGAAGGTGGAAGACGGCAGAAAACAGCTGACTGGCAATCTCACGTACCTTATGTAACAGACAGATGCACATTGCACTATAATGGCATAAGAAACAGTTTATGTCACTCATCAGTCAAACTGATTCACACAAACTCGTGTACCGACACTGAAAACAGGGATTCGAATCCGTAATCATCATCATCATCATCATCATCATCATCATCATCATCATCATCATCAAATCGTCGTTATCATGATCATCGTCGTAGTCATCATCGTCCTCATCGTAATCGGCATAATCATAATCATCATCAAAATATCATCATTATCATCATCGACATCTGTATTATCGCCTTCATCATAATCATCTTACACCAATATGCATACACATTATACCTTGAGTGACCCAACATAAAGTTTAAAACTTTCAGCTCTCACAAGACATGGTCTTCAGTGTAATGTATTCATTAAAATTAAGCCACGAATTATGATTATTATGTCAGGCTCTTTGTCCTACGATAATTGTTTATTGGCAAAACGTTAACCCCATGTTTTAAACGTGTCATTCTGTCGTTACGCATCTGTGTTACAGTTTAACGTATCATTCTGTCGTTACGCATCTGTGTGACATTTTAACGTATCATTCTGTCGTTACGCATCTGTGTGACATTTTAACGTATCATTCTGTCGTTACGCATCTGTGTTACAGTTTAACGTATCATTCTGTCGTTACGCATCTGGGTTACATTTTAACGTATCATTCTGTCGTTACGCATCTGGGTTACACTTTAACGTATCATTCTGTCGTTACGCATCTGGGTTACACTTTAACGTATCATTCTGTCGTTACGCATCTGTGTGACATATTAACGTATCATTCTGTCGTTACACATCTGTGTTACATTTTAAACGTATCATTCTGTCGTTACGCATCTGTGTTACATTTTAGCGCATCACTCTGTCGTTACGCATCCATTCCCTTGTTGAAGAAACACGTTTAACAATAAATAACACTGTCACATAACACAGTGATAAAATGTACAATAGAAAAAGTCATGAAATTACTCAACTCTGTTTTCCGGAAATCTCCCTACAATTCCCAGCTCGTGGTAGAGCTCTTTCGGGGCACACTCCATTGCAAGGACTCGCTGAAACAGTGGACAACACGGGCATTGGATAATGATGAACACCGTCAGAGGTCCCAAGAAGAATGTTGCAACAAAAAATTAGAAAACTATACTCACGTAATGCGGTATTTCGTACTTCTCGAAGAAACGGATGATATTTGGGTGGTTCAATTTCTCCATGATTTTGGTTTCATGTAGAAAATCATTGACTTCATCTTTGTTCGATGTTTTTATGTATTTCAGTGCGCATGCCTGTAATAGATACATCTAATATTACTTAGTTATGAAATAATGTATTTATAAAATGATGTTGACATCTCGCTCTAGTGAAATACCATCATCTGCTTAATGAGCAATGAAATACTTGTTTTGAGTGTTGATCATGAATATCATAGAAGATACACAATAAATCGAACATTTGTTCACATCAACTTCACCCATGTCATCGCTTACATCCATGTAATCACTTACTGTAAACGTACTTATTTTCGCGTGGTGCAAATTTCGCGGAATTGACAGTTTAGACTACATCGTGCGGTCAATTATTCGCGCAATCAGTAATTGCCGGAACTGCCAGCCGTCTCTTTGGCCGCCACTAATAGCAGTGAAAACAAACAGAGTGGCCGAACCTGTCAGGCGGCATTTATTACTTACTCACAGGAAATCCCTATCTGTGCGATATACTAGTACACAGTAACCCGTTTACTCCCGGAAGAGATGAAAAACACATCAGTATTATGTTCCGAATTCTGACGATCTGACTAATTAACTTATACTGTATATCCACGTCATCTGCGGCATACATCCACGTGATTGTTTACATCCACATCATCACTTACATCGGCGTCATACATCCACGTCATCCCGTTCATCTACGTCGTCGCTTACATCCACGTCATCAGTAAAACCACATCATATATCAACGTGATCACTTACATGCACGTCGTCACTTACATCAAAGTTATCAATTACATCAACGTGATCACTTACACCAGCGTCATATATCCCCTTCGTCACTTACATCGACGTAATCACTTACATCAACGTCAGCACTTATATCCACAATATGGCGTTCAATCACGTCACCACTTTCATTCACAACATCGCTTTCATCAACGTTATCTACGTCATTTTAAAATGTTCACTGCGTATGGGTATCATCAATTTCCGCATAGTCTATAAAATCATCAACATCAATGTCATCCAAACCGTTTAACCTCACTCATGCAAATGGAGGCACATTGTTATTATCATCAACAACAACTACAACATCACGTTCTTCAACTACAGCACATACTTCGTGCCCAACATCTGATATAATGTAACCTTAAAATTGTATAACCTGTATACCCAATTGTATGAGTCTCAAGTAACAAATACATGTGTGCGTGACTGAGTGAGTGAGTTGTTGGGTTCAACCCCGCTTTAAACAGCATTCCAGGTATATATAACTTACAGTATATTTGATTTGAAGTGGGTGTAACACGGGTACCAATGGTGATTGAAAGCCCCGAAACATAATCAGCGCGAATCTGGGACTCGAAACAAAGATCATAGGTTTCTGGCATGCCAAAGGGAGGCAACTCTCCACAGTGAATTGTGGAAAGACTCTGACATTCATTAGTAATTTAAACAAGCAAAATGAATTACTCTAAAAGTGTAAAAACATGAATCAGTATTTCTTCAATTGGCGCAATAGTACCTCACCTCTCCAGTCCCGTCTTTTCTTTTCCCCTTAAACACCACACCAAAGCCTCCTTCCCCGAGTAGTTCGACGACATCATACCGGTCATCTTGGATATTACGCTCCGTTAGTAGTCTGTTGACGTTCATGGTGAGTGGTGGTGTGAGATTCTCCAGAAAACCGCTCGTTTCTATAAATGTATATTTAAAAATATATCGATTACAAATCTAAAGCTTGATAGCTGAGCAGTCTTTTTCAAGCGATTGCCTCTAAAACATCACGTTGAATGCCTCTCCCAGCAGTCAGTACCGTGAGTGATGTCATACTCACAGCGGGAGTGAGGGGTTGAGGGGGGAGATGAGATGAGATGAGATGAGATGAGATGAGATGTGTGTGTGTGTGTGTGTGTGTGTGTGTGTGTGTGTGTGTGTGTGTGTGTGTGTGTGTGTGTGTGTGTGTGTGTGTGTGTGTGTGTGTGTGTGTCTGATCAGTGTGAAGTGGGGTTTGTGGGGTGTCGTATTAGTGGTAATCCTGGGTAAACTGACTGCGCTGTGTGTGTGTGTGTGTGTGTGTGTTTGTTCAGTGTGAAGTGTGTGTGGTTTGAATTGTAGTCAGAGGTACATTGACTGCGCAGTGTGTGTGTGTGTGTTCAATGTGAAGTGGGATGTGGCATGTGTGATAGTCAGGGGTTAAGTGACTGCGCAGTGTGTGTGTGTGTGTGTGTGTGTGTGTGTGTGTGTGTGTTCGGTGTGATTTGGGGTGTGGTATGTGTGGTAGTCAGGGATAAATTGACTGCGCTGTGTGTTGTATGCGGCCTGAGACCAGCACGTCTTGTTGAAGGTGGTATATAATGGTGTGTGATAGCACGTTCGCTGCACACAGTGTTGCATGTACTCACCTTCCTTCGTCAACCAACGGTCTCACTGTTTTCTCACTAGGTGTTTGATACGTACAAACTCTTGCATAATCCCTACACATTCATAAAATATAGACTCGTCATTACATACAAACTCATAAAATGTCAACACTTCATGCAAACAGTCACCTTACCTTCTACAATAACGTTCCTCTTGCCACTGAAACTCGCCTCAGTCATATAAACAGGGTGCAACCTGTCTATCTTGTCATGCCTAATTATAGGCCGGGAATTCCTCTTTCCTTCAACACAAAGCTGCACACTTACAGAATTTGCAATTCGTTATTGGGCCGTGTTGCTCTGCACAACAGCTAATCAATATGTTGTGACACTGTGCTGCGGCGAGGCCAACATATTAATATATTTATACCGACAGTGTTGTGTTTCCTATACAAACAGTCCCGACACTCACCGCCTACACAAAGGACATACATAGACACCTGAATTCTGCTGTACGTTCCACTTCAACTAGCAACACAGGTCGAACTCGTCAAGCAGGCAGTTACCAGGGCATGCGGTAAGCTAAAATTAAACTTTCAAAGGATGGGAATCAGTACATTTACTTCCTGTACTAATATTGCTTAAACGCACTCTCTAATACAGTTTGTGTTTTGAAATTAGATTTTTATTATTATCTACATGCTCTTTCAGGTTACTCTTTTGTTTCCGGGGCGGTGGGGTAGCCTAATGGTTAAAGCGTTGGCTCGTCACGCCAAAGACCCGGGTTCGAATCCCCACATGGGTACAATGTGTGAAGCCCATTTCTGGTGTCCCCCGCCGTGATGTTGCTGGAATATTGCTAAAAGCGGCGTAAAACCAAACTCAGTCAGTCAGTCAGTCTTTTGTTTCCATGAATAACTGTATCTGTGTTTGTTTTTAACCTGAGGATGTTTGCTCCTCATTGTATCACTGACTTTCCCTCAACACTCAGTGATTACTGGGGCTGTAACGATGCATCGAACTATCGATGGATTGCAATTGTTGAGTCTCCGATAGAAATTAATCGATGGTAGAAGCGAAAACTATTGATGCATCGATAGTATGTGTGACTATCGAATAGTTTAGTAAATGACTTTTGATAAATGCGCAGCGCAAAATAAAGTCCGTACCAGATTCGTTCACGTTGATTTAGAGTTATCCGCCCCCGCAGACTTTCAGCTTCATTGAGTTTGTGTTTTAACACAAATGAGACAATTCAATGAGACGAATAAACTATTGTAATACTGACTGACTGAGTTTGGTTTTACGCCGCTTTTAGCAATATTCCAGCAATATCACGGCAGGGGACACCAGAAATGGGCTTCACTCATTGTACCCATGTGGGGATTCGAACCCGGGTCTTCGGCGTGACGAGCCAACGCTTTAACCACTAGACTACCCCACCGCCCCACTATTGTAATAGTATTGCAATAGTTGGTCGCAATAGACTATCGATATCGCAATAGTCGTTTCTCTCTCAGTAGTCAGCCCTAGTGTTTACTGCGCCTGATGTTCCTCAACACCCATTTTCCATAGCGCCACGTATTACACCCGGTGTTGATTGTATCACTGCCTTTATCCCAACACCCGGTGTATACTGTGCCCCTGACGTTCTTCAACTCATTTAACAAGACGCCACTGACGTCCCTTAACATCCGGTGTTAACGGTATCACTGCCTTTCCCCAACACCCGGTGTTTACTGCGCCTGACGTTACTCAACACCCATTTACCATGACGTCACTGACGTCCATGAACGGTGTTCATTGCACTACTGGCGCCTTTCCCCAACACCCGGTGTGTGTCTAATCATTGTAAGTGTATGTATAGAAATAGTGTTTCGCTAATTACTATCCAGGTGAACGTAGACGTAGACGCTAATTACTATCCAGACGTAGACGTAGACGTAGACGTGGACGTAGACGTGGCTATAGATTCCCTCATGAACGTCATGTTGACAATGAAAGCTGCAGTGAACTCATAAATGGTTCTTCGGGAATATTGTACTTTTCATCAACAAGGTTAACAATTAAAATACCGAATCCTTGCGATTATAACTATCATTATGTAATTTTCCTGGGACAGTGACGTAGCCTACTGGTTAAAGTGTTCGCTCGTCACGCTGAAGACCCGGGTTCGATTTCCCACATGAGTGCAAAGTGTGAAGCCCATTTCTGGTGTCCCCGCCATGATATTGCTGGAATATAGCTAAATGCGGCGTAAAGCTAAACTCATTCACTAAAATTTTATATTCACAATTCTGGTACCATTACCTTATGGACAGTGAATAATGTCAAGGACTGTCTATTCTACAAAAAATCAATTAATCTAATGTGACATATTCGTAACAGTCGAATGACTAGTTGAGTTACCGATACATGCTTTGTTCATATAATTCATGCCTTAAGCAGTGTCGTAATCTCCATAACAGTGCAACAGATAGGTAATACTGGCATGAATACAACGGTGAGTGAATGAGTGAGTGAGTGAGTGAGTTTTGGTTTTACGCCTCTTTAGCAATATTCCAGCAATATCACGGCAGGGAGCACCAACAATGTGCCGAGTGTGGAGTCGAACCCGGTTGTCCAGCGTGACAAGCAAACGCCTTAACCACTAGGCTACCCCGCCGTACCGGCATTAATACAACGAAGAGACATCTTCGTTTTTCAACTGGTCAGCACCAACACCTGCGGAAGCCAGTTGGCACTCTGCATTTAAATGAAAGTGACAAATATCACTTCTATAATCACAAGAAATCCAGGTGCGGCGGTGGGTAGCCCAGTGGTTGAACGTGCGTTCGTCACGCCGCTAACCCGGGTTCTATTCTCTGCTTGGTCACAATGTGTGAAGATTATGTTTGGTTTCCTGCGCGTGCATTGCAGAAATATTGATAAATACGGCCTAAATCAATACTCACTCACTCAAGAAATCCTCATGGACCGTACAAGCATATGTTCATGAATTACTATCAAATGGTGTCACATACAGTGTTTGCGAAAACTCCCATTGGTAATACACAGGTTACTTTTCAAGTGAGAACTTGTACACAGGGATAAATAGTCATGAGTAAAAGTATATTTACGCGTGACTAATACCCGGTACGCATGCAACATTTTATTCACCTGTTAATAACATTACTCAAGGGGATATCTCCATCTTCCCGTCACATGATAATATTGGCACAGCACCATTGGAGCAGATGTCTGTAAATGGACCATGAAGTCCGGGGTTTGACATCATGAACACCGATCTAAGCATCTTGGATAAGACGAATTGATTCACCTGATGAAGTAGTAAGGATATACGCCCAAATGTTGTCCTCCTCATAATAAAGAAGCTGACATCATAAAATGTCTCTTCCTTGCTTCTGAATGCCAAAGACTTGGAATAGACTTCTTGCACCTTGCAAGTCAGAGAGACTGGCCAGCCAATTATGTTAATCAGGCCAGAATAAGGCAAGTAAAATCAACTCTCCAGAGTGAGTGAGAGTGAGTAGAGTTTTACGCCGCACTCTGCAATATTCCAGCTATATGGGGACTGTTCATTCTAACCCGGACCTTCACGGGTCAACTCTCCAGATGTTCACGGGATGCCTCATAGCAAGTAAGTGTAATTATGGGCAATGATATAAGTTGCATGACGTCAGAGGATAGTCAAGACGTGGTATTATGTTGACACACTTTTTGGATACGAGATAGTTATTCCATAAATTATGTCTATAGTTTACTTCCCAACTTCTAAAATGTCACTCAAAGTAGTTAAGGCTTGGTATTCCTATACATTGATGTTATATATTTTATCGTAGTCGCTACTAATGTTAGCCTCAAACTACGCCAATACGATTGCACTAGAAATTCTGCAAAATTGGAAGAAAATTCATTACAATTTGGATATATAGACAAAAACATATATTTTCGTCGATAAAATACATTTTCGACTAAAAGTGAGTGAGTGAGTTAAAATTTAAAGTCACATCGGCAATATTTCAGCCATATCGTGACTACAAGAAGTTTAGAATTCACCATAAATACATGTAAATTATAAAAACCTGTCATCGAAGGACAGTAAAGTCGACTAGAATATCACAGTATCAAGAAATAAAACTAGCATTACTTTCTAAAAATGGATTTAAATTAGGACAATACAGTATAAAAATGGGCTATAAATCGCCAACAACTGAAGGTAGATCACCATACCAGGGACTTTCGCTTAAAAGAGACAAGAAGAAATGTAATGCTGATAATTTTGAAATCTGCTGTTGGAGGAATGTGAAATTAAAGCTTCACTCTTGATTAATGTCGTATTATCTTTCTCTTAAATGTTTTAAGTATTTAGTTGACTACCAATTTCACGGTCACTTTGGGGTTGGCATCTCTGGTACGTGAGTGAAATGCGTTTTTGTGTATAGTAAGTACATGTAAACACTTCATAGGAGTGTTGCTTAAAGGGGTACTAGATTTGGTTAGCTGACGGAATTGGTACACGTCCACCAGTACTTGTTTTTACCTGAATGATTAACTGTGCAATTGTGTTTACAACATGGGCAATTGTTCAGTCGTGATTTAACGGGTGCCACCGGTGGGGCAGGGTACGCTGACCTTTTCGCGAACACCTGGTGTCATTACTATCTCATAGTGATTCATAAACACATGTTCTCTCATCGCATCGCTACCCATGAAGATCCGGTTTAAAATTGATCTTCAGTAACCCATGCTTGTCGTAAGAGGCGATCGGGTGGTCAGGCTCGCTGACTTGGTCGATGCTCATGCTGTTGATGACTGGATTGTATGGTCCAGACTCGATTTGTTTGCCAAACAACATCATGCTGAAACAAATATATGCTCATGAAATGGTAACAATTGCGCAATCGACTCTGCTTTTAGCGGAGATTTCTTATGGACGCGGAAAGGATTTTGTCGGTTTTATTAAGAAAGACTGGCCAAATTTCACACGTCAATGATACTTGTGACTATCACTGACTGACTGACAGAGTATGGTTTTACGCCGCTTTTAGCAATCTTCCAGCAATATCACGGCGGGGGACACCAGAAATGGGCTTCACATATTGTACCCATGTGAGGATTCGAACCCGGGCCTTCGGCGTGACGAACAAACGCTTGAACCACTAGGCTACCCCACCGCCCCTGTATCTATCAAGGGACTGCATCACCCCCGAGTTTGCTCTCAGGTCAAGCTGGCAGGCCGTGACACTACTTAGATTAAATTAACATGAAATGTCAGTACAATGATATGTATGAACGAAAGCAGTGTCATTAGTGTCATTTTATATGAAAAACACGAAATATACTCATGTGCAAAATAAACTATACACCCATGCTTGACCCAAAGCTTATTCGATGGTGATGTAGTTGATATATATATAATATATATATAATGGATTTCTATGGCGCCTGGTATCCAACTGGAAGCTGTTTAACGGCTCATCAAAAAATCTTACCCCGGACAATCCCAAACTGCCTGCCAGACGCTAGAAGAGTCACTTTACTTATCCCACCGGGTACCCATTTTCTGCTGGGTGAACAGGGGCACTTTAAGAAACTCACTTGCCTAAGGTGAAACCACCTTAGCTTCGCTGTGGGGCAGGACTGAAGGACTGAAGTCCTAGAAACTCTCAGGAGTCAATCGTCATATGAGCGAAATATTCTCGAGTACGACGTTAAACCCAATTTCACCTCAGGAGTCAAGCTGCCACACACGGTCACCCATTCAAGCTCCATGCACTGGGCCACACACCACCTCCATGATACGGGTTTCATTGATGTGTTTTTTGTTGTTGTGTTTACATCTCTTTCTTACAAACTTCATATCATAAATCTGAAAGGTGTCTTTCTTTCAGTGATTGACCGCCTCCGTGGTATAGTGGTTAGAGCGTCCGCCCGGAGAGCGGAAGGTCGCGGGTTCGATCCCTGACTGCGTCATACCAAAAGACGTTAAAATAAGGTACTTGTTGGTCCCTGCCTGGCGCTCGGCATTAATGGGTACAACAAGGACTGGTCGGCTCGGAGTCAGTATAATGTGTCTGAGTGGGGTATTCATGCTTCACTGCGGCATGGTATCAGCCTGGGCTAGTACAAGCAGCCGCACATACACATACACACGCATGCACGTCGTCATATCAGCGAAATATTCTCAAGCACGACGTTACACCCAATTTCACCTCACCTCATCTTTCTTACAACTTCTTACATTATATCAATTCCGCTTGTAATTATAGGTTAATATAAGACAGAAATTCAAACAAATTCAACAGAAATATATTTTCACCACCAAGTCACTTAGTGACAACATAAACACATGAATCAACTCTGGTTAATACATAGGAAAAGTTGACAGTCGTCATAGAGTGTTTCACACTATTACTAATATACCTTGTTCATGCATAAACACTGAAAACAATGGTGTATATTCACCAGGGAGCTCAAAATAAAATCTGAATGTTCAGAGATCATGTGATTAGTGTATAATAGGCTTTGAGATTTCTCAGAGTGACGTCCCTTTGAGGTCTGGAGTCTGGCTGTGTTTTTAGAGATATATCATCCTCCCCGTCATCATCATCATTATCATCGTCATTATCATTATCGCCAGCATCATCTTCGCCATAATCATCATCGTCGTCGTCAACAATGTCAACAACGACAATTGCTATCCTACATGTTTCACTGAACTGAGTTATTTCAGTGCAGTAGCTTGGCGTCTTGGTCATCCCCCATCTGGAGAATAGCAGTAAAGGTCAGGCGGTCATTAGACGCCACCCTTTTCACAGGCTCAGGCTGATTGGCATTAGACTCGACTTACTTCCCTCAAACACCAGTTTGTCTGCTAGTTACATGTATCATGATATCAATCTAACAGTCTGAGATTACGATAATTCCACAGAGGCCAAGTCTCTAAATCATAGCAACTTTACAATGTCTCCGAACCGTCGGGCACCATGAAGCATTAGCTGCCGTAACCGTATCTCTGCTGCTCCTTATCAACAATTTGGATTTTGATTGTCGCTATACAGACTAGGGACCTAGTCCTGTAGACAGCAGTGGCTGAATGGGTAAGATGGCTAACTTTGTGTGCTGGCGATTAGGTGCCTGACACTGGCAGTGTGGGTCCCGGACGGGAACTAAAGAACCCTGTACTTCACTGACGGGACTAAACCAAAATATAAATAGAACCAGTGGATCTGATGCTTCACTGCTAGAAAGTGTAAACCATAAATAGGAAGCAACACAGTTACTGCAGCCAATGACATGGCTTTCCATGTTGATTGAGACAGATCATAGACTTCCGCAACAATTGACTTAGTATACTGCTAGTAAGAGTAAAGTCATAAAATCGTGTATAGGGAGCAACACAGAGGTTGGGTTACTGCAGCCAATGGAACATGGCTTTCCATAGTGATCTGAGACAGTTCCTATTTCACACGCCTTCCTCTCCAACATAAACTTCCACAACAATCAACTTCTCCATGAGAGATCCCCTGTAAACTTGCAGCATATTATAGTAGCTCCTGGAACACTGGACACAAACTACTGGTCAGCTTCTGAAGGCTCAGCAGGTGACTCTGAAGAACCTCCTCTCCTACGTGGAGGAATCATGATGACGACATCCATGTCTTCATCTCCATCAGTGACGTCTTCGGCTCCATCGGGAACGTCTTCACTCTCTGGCAGCTTTCCCCCACGTCCAAGTATACGCACCTTAACAACGGCACAAATACATTCATTTGAGATTTCTTTACATTCATTCCAAGAGTGCACATCGGCGTTTAGTTCATAACTCTATAAATGCCAATATTAAAGATGTTTTATAAAGTATTCTTATATCAATTCTTATTATATCAATTCTTATAAGTAATCAAATATTCCTAACAATATACAACTTCTTTGTTACTCACACAACCTAAACGGTAATCAACACTCAAAACCTATTCGGTACAGATATGCTGGAAGTTTGGGCTATATACAACATAGGAGAACGTGCCGCTCATTCGCCATACACATACAATAGCATTCCTCATACCCACACAAAGAATTCCTCACCCAAACAATAGCATTCCTGAACCAAACAAAGAAATTCCTACAGGCTCAGCCTTAAAGAATGTAGGTTCATTACATTATGAATGACATTCCATAGGTTCAGTTGTTACAACAAAGAAATTCCTACAGGCTCAGCCTTAAAGAATGTAGGTTCATTACATTATGAATGACATTCCATAGGTTCAGTTGTTACAACAAAAGAAATTCCTACAGGCTAAGGAAAAGAAATTCCTTAAGGAGCATAGAGCAGGACAAAGACATTCCTTAAGGAGCGTAGGAGTAACCATAGAGGTGAAACGTCATTCCTACAGCTGCCCCTCAGGTATATACAGGTGCGCTAACTCACATTCCATAGATACGGCATTTGTCAGTACACGTTCCTACTATTCAAATATCAAATTCTTATAGTTTTCCTTGTTTTATGTAAAATATGCAATACAAGTTGTGTTACACTCCATTTAATCATGATCAATTCAAAATCAGTTTTACATGCGTATAAGAGTCATGTAACGATGCCGTGAAAGGGTTAATCGCACTTATTCACCACATGCGGCAAACTCTCCCGTATACGCTCAAACACCATGTTTACAAAACGATAAAATGTAGGTCGCCTATCTCGCTTCGCGTTTCATACACAATATTATAATCTCCCTCCCGAGTAGTGCATAAAATTCAAACACAAAGTACACTACTCGGACAGTGAGTCGAATTCAAGTCATAATGCTGGTTGTTTCGTCTTGCATACTCATACTTAGACTTGTTTATTACAACAGTGAGGTAAATTCAGCTTTAATCATTCAGTTTGTTTTACACTCCTACTCGTGCTTATTTAACACAGCCAGGTGCATTCACACCTCATGCTGTCATCACATGCTTTCATAACGTATATGATATAGTTCGTTCAACTTTGCCTTGTGCTAAATATACTCACAAGTTGTTCAAGTCTGGTTGTTGCGTAAATAATGACTAAATTTATTTCAGTTGATGCCTCTATTTGATGTTCGAGGTTGACTAACAGTATCAATAGCAGTATATCACGATTTTTATCAATAAAACATGACTGGTTAAACTTTTTCAAAGCAGGTTAAGAAATAGCATATCACGATTTTTAAATATCACAACTAAAAACGTGACGGACGAATTTTTACATTTATTTATCTATGACTAGTGATGTTTTTTGAAAACATATGATGGGTGTATGTCATCAGTAAATATATTTTGAAATTGCAATAAAGCAGTTAGCACGACTTGTAAATTTTTATTGAAATGATTCATATATGGTTTGCTGCGAAATTGCGTTTTACCAGTTTTGATAAATAAGCGAAGTGTAGATGTAAACTTCATTCTGCATCTACTACACTCCATTTACCATTGGCTGAGTTTTATAAGGTTAAGTCAGACGGAGACAAATTTGACTATATGTTTTTGGATAAGTCTTCACAAGAATTTAAACTGTGCGATTTTGATAAAATTGGTTTAAAGGAGGCACTGATTTACTTTTTGGAAGTCCACAATGATTTTTATTTATCATTGAAACCAATTTCAAACACAATAAGTGAGTCATTTCTCCAATTTACTCTTTGTCCTGACGACGAGTGTCCCGCTCTGTTTGAGGGAGACCTCCACCAGGGTATACATGTATTAAGAATAAGATTAACTGCAGAAGACAAAATATTTTATTTTACGCATTGTGAAGTCAACGGAATTTGGACAAAGATTATTAGAGGAGATGCAGAGCGAGAGATCCAACGAACGAACCGATATTTTCCATGAAGGTAAGTTAATTATCGTTTTTAATCATACATGCAGAAATGTATCACTTGTCTAACAAGAATATTCTGGTTCATGCTCTATGTCATGGAATTGTACTGCATAAATAAATAAATAAATAAAGTTCAACACCCGTAAGTGTGGCGGCAAACTCTGTCCTCGCGTTTAAAACATATTACTCAAAGTAAAGCAAATAAATAAATAAAACTTACATAAAGTCGAACAAAGAGTGTTTGCATACACACTCCGCTGTTGTCATGTAAGAGATGCTTTCTTGTTGTTGTTTTTGTAATAATTTCAGTGTTCGTCTTTTCAGTTTCACTGAACATTCGGTCTTTAAACACAATTTTCACATCACTTTTCAGGATAGGTTTCACATTCATAGAGTGATTGGTGCAATATTTCCTTTGGAATATATCAACAGTTTTTCCCTCATAAATCACCAAAAGTCCGTTTTTCATGAGAAAGTATCATTTACTTGTCATCCCACACTTTTTAATCATGTCAAGTTTTCACATCAGTTATAATCTACATATACAGAGGTTTCTGGCACCATGTATGAGTTATGCAAACATACTGTACAAAAATATCGTGATGCTTTCAGGGTCACAGGTAGCACGAACTTTTTATTCTAAGTAGGTAACGTAGTTTTACGAATCCTTTCAGTGGAAATGACTCAGATGTCAACTAGTGAAAAAACATAATACATCTCACGCTATATGCTGTAACGTTCATCGCACGCCGACCTCTACCCAGCGCATTTTATACCAACCGATAAACTATAAATGTATCGCAAGTTTTCGTCGTATTGTCGGACACTTGTAAGCGATATACAACAAATATCACGACTATCTCGACTTTGTTAAAATATGTTACGAACAGGATTTTGCAATGCCAATAGGTTTAGTATAAGACAAAAACATCCATGCATTATAAGCGTTGTGTCTGTTCTGTTGATTTCACCTGCAACATTTGGCTTTGAGATTATTCATTTTTTGATGCTAAGCATCAAATTTCTCTTTCTGAACATGGCATTCCATTTATATTTTAAATCAAATTAGAAATTATCAACACTGTCTTATCTTTTCCCTGTTCATACATCCATTATTTTGTATGAAACTCAAAATTGCGAAATTAGTGTCACAGTTGATTGAAGGAAGGATCTGTAGAAATCACCGTTTATATTAGAACAATTTATATGAACGGAGGTAATCGCATGGTTATTTTTCAACGTCAGTGCGAAATCCAGCAACATTACTAGAGGTAAGTTAAACCTTTTCAGCATTCGTGAAGAAATCGTATCTTGCAAAGAGTTCGCGTAACTAGGCTACATGTTATTCTCCTATGAATTGTCTAGATGTATCAGGTATCAACATGATAAATTTATATGTGCTGCAATTCAATAGGCTTATAACACACACGTTCGTTTGTTATGGGTATAAAGGTTAGGCTGGGATCAAATAGCTTCTTGTATGGTTCACATCCTGTCGCACTGTATTTCGATGTAGAAGTTGAAACTGCATCGTGCAGTCCTTAAAACCTAAACATCTGTTTATTTTCGAAAATATACTTGTATAGTAAGATTTGTTGTAATGATCAATTTGTAATATACTGTGAATACAAATGGTTTAATCTAGTTATATTCACAGTAAAGAAAACTTTCTGTAACATTTCGAACAGGTTCCTTATAAGTTGTTAAATTCCCCACATGTTTCAAGCGATTTGTGTACATGTGTTCTTCCTTAATGAAGTTTTGACTTTCATGTTGATCGATATTTCCGGTGTTTGATTGGTGCATGTGTTTCGCGTGACGATGTTTTGAGCATGTGTACTCCTCTTATTGAGCGACATTGAATTTGTCAACCAAACCAGTTAGCTTTATAAATACTGAAAGTGTAAATAATGACGAGTCGCAGTTACAGTATTGTTTACTGTTTTGTTGGTTGTAAATAGTGAACTGCTATTTGCAAGTAAATATAAACAGAGATCGCATGCTCCCTGTCAAGGCACAGACATTATCACATCTTGGAGCTGTGTATCCGAGGGTCATGATTAAGATATTGCATAGGTCTTGGGATGACTAAAGGATAAACGTTCCGTACATTTACCAAGAGATTTGAACCTACACCCACCCTTTTACAGTCTATCATTTTACACAACTGAGTTAAATTCGTAACTGGTTCAGAAATGTTAATTTACTGAGTCTGGTTTGTAAGAATAGTACTGTGCAAAACCGATATTAGCACATGTATCGCCAAATAAACTTAAATCATGTGTTATGAGTTTAGTGTTTACTTACAGTTAACAAAGTTATTTGGAATTCCTCTGGCCTAGATGTCAGACGCTACCATATTATGTACGATCACGTTTGAACGAGTGACAAAGCTGTGACTTGTAATCTATAGCTCAATCTTCTCTGCAGGCAAGAGATTGTTAGCTAGATGGTTTTCAAACAAAACGTTTACAAATCCAGCTATATGGTAACGATATACCCCAGTGATTAACAGCATGAGCATTGATATGTGCAACTGGGAACCGAAGTCAGCGAGTCTGACCACCCAATCCCTTTAGTCGTCTCTCACGACATGGATAGTTTGTGCGAAGCATGGGTTGCTGAAGACCTATTCTAACCAAGATCTTCACGGTAAGGGAAAATGGGTAAGGGAAAATGGTTCTTATGTCACATACACTGAGATTAATCACAAGCATCACTGTTCAAAGATAATTTCTTTATTTGATATCACATCATGAGAAAGGAAATGCGAACCAGGTGGTTACCAGTCCGTAGGTTGTCCGTTGCCTAAGTTGTGTGCTGCTGCTGCTGACACTGCAATACGGAGAAATGTAAACATCCACATAATGGGAATACACAATGTGAATTCGCCATCCAT